ATGCCTTATCCCATTAGATGCCTTTTACGAGACTTGATGCCATGCCTTATCCCATGAGATGCCTTTTACGGAACTTGGTGCCATGCTTTATCCCATGAGATGCCTTCTACGAGACTCGATGCCACGCCTTATCCCATTAGATGCCTTTTACGGAACTCGATGCCACGGCTTATCCCATGAGATGCCTTTTACGGAACTCGGTGCCATGCCTTATCCCATGAGATGCCTTTTAGAAGACTCGATGCCATGCCTTATCACATGAGATGCCTTTTACGAGACTCGATGCCCCGCCTTATGCCATGAGATGCCTTTTACGGAACTATGTGCCACGCCTATTCCATAAGATGCCTTTTACGAGTCTCGATGCCATGCCTTATCCCATGAGATGCCTTTTACGGATCTCGGTGCCATGCTTTATCCCATGAGATGCCTTTTACGTGACACGATGCTACGCCTAATCCCATGAGATGCCTTTTACGGAACTCGATGCCACGCCTTATCCCATGAGATGCCTTTTACGAGACTCGATGCCATGTCTTATCCCATGAGATGCCTTTTACAGAACTCGATGCCACGCCTTATCCCATGAGATGCCTTTTACGAGACTCGATCCCATGCCTTATCCCATTAGATGCCTTTTACGGAACTTGGTGCCATGCCTTATCCCATTTGATGCCTTTTACGGAACTTGGTGCCACGCCTAATCCCATGAGATGCCTTTTACGGAACTCAGTGCCACGCCTTATCCCATGAGATGCCTTTTACAAAACTTGGTGCCACGCCTTATCCCATGAGATGCCTTTTACGGAACTTGATGCCACGCCTTATCCCATGAGATGCCTTTTACTGATCTCGGTGTCATGCCTTATCCCATGAGATGCCTTTTACGACCCTCGATGCCATGCTTTATCCAATGAGATGCCTTTTACGGAACTTGGTGCCACGCCTTATCCCATAAGATGCCTTTTACGAGACTCGGTGCCATGCCTTATCCCATTAGATGCCTTTTACGAGACTCGATGCCATGCCTTATCCCATGAGATGCCTTTTGCGAGACTTGATGCCATGCCTTATCCTATGAGATGCCTTTTACGGAACTTGGTGCCACGCCTTATCCCATGAGATGCATTTTACGGAACTTGGTGCCATGCCTTATCCCATGAGATGCCTTCTACGAGACTCGATGCCATGCCTTATCCCATGAGATGCCTTTTACGGAACTCGATGCCATGCCTTATCCCATTAGATGCCTTTTACGAGACTCGGTGCCACGCCTTATCCAATGAGATGCCTTTTACGAGACTCGATGCCACGCCTTATCCCATGAGATGCCTTTAACGGAACTTTGTGCCACGCCTATCCCATTAGATGCCTTTTACGAGACTCGATGCCATGCCTTATCCCATGAGATTCCTTTTACGGATCTCGGTGCCATGCCTTATCCCATGAGATGCTTTTTACGAGACTTGATGCCACGCCTTATCCCATGAGATGCATTTTACGGAACTTGGTGCCATGCCTTATCCCATGAGATGCCTTTTACGAGACTCGATCCCATGCCTTATCCCATGAGATGCCTTTTACGAGACTCGATCCCATGCCTTATCCCATTAGATGCCTTTTACGAGACTCGGTGCCACGCCTTATCCAATGAGATGCCTTTTACAGAACTCAATGCCACGCCTTATCCCATGAGATGCCTTTTACGGAACTCGATGCCAAGCCTTATCCCATGAGATGCCTTTTACGAGACTCGATGCCTCGCCTTATCCCATGAGATGCCTTTTACAGAACTTGGTGCCATGCCTGATCCCATGAGATGCCTTCTACGAGACTCGATGCCACGCCTTATCCCATGAGATGCCTTTTACGGAACTCGATGCCACGCCTTATCCCATGAGATGCCTTTTACGGAACTTGGTGCCATGCCTTATCCCATGAGATGCCTTTTAGAAGACTGGATGCCATGCCTTATCCCATGAGATGCCTTTTACGAGACTCGATGCCACGCCTTATGCCATTAGATGCCTCTTACGGAACTATGTGCCACGCCTATCCCATAAGATGCCTTTTACGAGTCTCGATGCCATGCCTTATCCCATGAGATGCCTTTTACGGATCTCGGTGCCATGCTTTATCCCATGAGATGCTTTTTACGAGACTTGATGCCACGCCTTATCCCATGAGATGCCTTTTACAGAACTCAATGCCACGCCTTATCCCATGAGATGCCTTTTATGGAACTCGATGCCATGCCTTATTCCATTAGATGCCTTTTACAGAACTTGGTGCCATGCCTTATCCCATGAGATGCCTTTTACAGAACTCGATGCCTCGCCTTATCCCATGAGATGCCTTTTACAGAACTTTGTGCCATGCCTTATCCCATGAGATGCCTTCTACGAGACTCGATGCCACGCCTTATCCCATGAGATGCCTTTTACAGAACTCAATGCCACGCCTTATCCCATGAGATGCCTTTTACGGAACTCGATGCCATGCCTTATCCCATGAGATGCCTTTTGCGAGACTCGATCCGACACGTTATCCCATGAGATGCCTTTTACAGAACTCGGTGCAACGCCTTATTCCATTAGATGCCTTTTACAGAACTTGGTGCCATGCCTTATCCCATGAGATGCCTTTTACAGAACTCGATGCCTCGCCTTATCCCATGAGATGCCTTTTACAGAACTTAGTGCCATGCCTTATCCCATGAGATGCCTTCTACGAGACTCGATGCCACGCCTTATCCCATGAGATGCCTTTTACAGAACTCGATGCCACGCATTATCCCATGAGATGCCTTTTACGGAACTCGGTGCCATGCCTTATCCCATGAGATGCCTTTTAGAAGACTCGATGCCATGCCTTATCCCATGAGATGCCTTTTACGAGATTCGATGCCAAGCCTTATCCCATGAGATGCCTTTTACGGCACTTGGTGCCACGCCTTATCCCATTAGATGCCTTTTACGGAACTTGGTGCCGCGCCTTATCCCATTAGATGCCTTTTAAGAGATTCGATGCCATGCCTTATCCCATGAGATGCCTTTTACGGAACTCGGTGCCATGCCTTATCCCATGAGATGCCGTTTAGAAGACTCGATGCCACGCCTTATCCCATGAGATGCCTTTTACGAGACTCGATGCCATGCCTTATCCCATGAGATGCCTTTTACGGAACTTGGTGCCATGCCTTATCCCATTTGATGCCTTTTACGGAACTTGGTGCCACGCCTTATCCCATAAGATGCCTTTTACGAGACTCGATGCCATGCCTTATCCGATTAGATGCCTTTTACGGAACTTGGTGCCACGCCTTATCCCATTAGATGCCTTTTACGAGATTCGATGCCATGCCTTATCCCATTAGATGCCTTTTACGTAACTTGGTGCCGCGCCTTATCCCATTAGATGCCTTTTACGGAACTTGGTGCCACGCCTTATGCCATTAGATGCCTTTTACGTAACTTGGTGCCACGCCTTATCCCATTAGATGCCTTTTCGAGATTCGATGCCATGCCTTATCCAATTAGATGCCTTTTACGGCACTTGGTGCCATGCCTTATCCCATTAGATGCCTTTTACGGAACTTGGTGCCACGCCTTATCCCATGAGATGCCTTTTAAGAGACTCGATGCCATGCCTTATCCCATGAGATGCCTTTTACGGAACTTGGTGCCACGCCTTATCCCAAGGAGATCTCTTGTACAAGACTGGGTGCCATCCCTTATTCCAAGGAGATCTCTTGTACGAGACTGGGTGCCATCCCTTATTCCAAGGAGATGTCTTGTACGAGACTGGGTGCCATCCCTTATTCCAAAGAGATGTCTTGTACGAGACTGGGTGCCATCCCTTATCCCAAGGAGATGTCTTGTACGAGACTGGGTGCCATCCCTTATCCCAAGGAGATGTCTTGTACGAGACTGGGTGCCATCCCTTATCCCATGGGATCTCTTGTACGAGACTGGGTGCCATCCCTTCTCCCAAGGAGATGTCTTGTACGAGACTGGGCGCCATCCCTTATCCAAAGGAGATGTCTTGTACGAGACTGGGTGCCATCCCTTATCCCAAGGAGATGTCTTGTACGAGACTAGGTGCCATCCCTTATCCCAAGGAGATGACTTGTACGAGACTGGGTGCCATCCCTTATCCCATGGGATCTCTTGTACGAGACTAGGTGCCATCCTTTCTCGTAAGGAGATGTCTTGTACGAGACTGGGTGCCATCCCTTATTCCAAGGAGATGTCTTGTACGAGACTGGGTGCCAGCCCTTATTCCAAGGAGATGTCTTGTACGAGACTGGGTGCCATCCCTTATCCCAAGGAGATGTCTTGTACGAGACTGGGTGCCATCCCTTATCCCAAGGAGATGTCTTGTACGAGACTGGGTGCCATCCCTTATCCCATGGGATCTCTTGTACGAGACTAGGTGCCATCCCTTCTCGTAAGGAGATGTCTTGTACGAGACTGGGTGCCATCCCTTATTCCAAGGAGATGTCTTGTACGAGACTGGGTGCCAGCCCTTATTCCAAGGAGATGTCTTGTACGAGACTGGGTGCCATCCCTTATCCCAAGGAGATGTCTTGTACGAGACTGGGTGCCATCCCTTATCCCAAGGAGATGTCTTGTACGAGACTGGGTGCCATCCCTTATCCCAAGAAGATGTCTTGTACGAGACTGGGTGCCATCCCTTATCCCATGGGATCTCTTGTACGAGACTGGGCGCCATCCCTTCTCTCAAGGAGATGTCTTGTACGAGATTGGGTGCCATCCCTTATTCCAAGGAGATGTCTTGTACGAGACTGGGTGCCATCCCTTATCCCAAGGAGATGTCTTGTACGAGACTGGGTGCCATCCCTTATTCCAAGGAGATGTCTTCCACGAGACAAACACACGTTCACTCCGCTCCACGTGACCCGAGCCAAGGCCACGCGGGCGTTAACTACGTGCAGCCGTACATCAGCACAGTGTTCACACTCCAACCGCTGCCGCCATGTCACCATCCTGAGACACAGAGAGAGACACAGTTGCTGCTGGTTTCACACAACACTTTGATATGGACGCACGGGTGCTGTTGTTGGTCCTTTGTCAGTGTGTCGTCACGCGATGTCCCTTGAATGAAAAATACTCTGGGCACTCCCCAGCGGGGTTTGTGTGGGGGGCCGGGTCCTGGGCAACTCAGATAGTGGGAGCATGGAGAACGCACGGTAAGTTCGGATTGTATCGGATGATAACTGCGGATTGCATCGGACGGCAAGTCGGATTTCATTGTATGTTTTAAAAGTTTGATTGTATTGTATGGTAAATTCGAATTGAATCGGATGGTATTTTCGGAATACATCGGAGGGTAGTCGGAGTGCCTCTTAATGTTCGGATTGTCAAAATAGGGAATTGATTCAGACATGTTTTGTCACTGATGCATCAAATGTTGAAATGCCTAAACAGGTTCAAATGAATAAGCAGATGCATAGGCAATATCACACACAATTATATTAGCTATACCAAATTATAGGAAAACTGAGATGGCAGGCCACATCGCCATTGAAGCACGCCATACATTTAAGTATACATGCACTCACAGGTTGTATCAATGCTCTCATCTGCACGCCATCCCCGTGTAACGAACGTGGCGCGTGACCTGCATGGGGGGTTCCAACTTCCCCGGCATGTTTTGTTCGGAATTATAAATCACGAGACTGACGACAATCCTAAACAATGGGGATTAAGACTATAGTTTGTTCCAAACTAGACTGACCCCAGTCTGTCTGCAAATTGAGTGTAATTGTCTCGTAATCCTAAACCAAATAGAAATGTATAAATAAATCTTAGAACTATACGTTCTTCAGTTTTATTACCCACGCGGTGAAGAAACAGGTGATAAGATACTAAATCCGGACGTCACACGTGTGTCTTACAAGGTTGACCTTGTTTTATTCGTTTTGATTGGATAACCGTGACCTCTGTCACACCGGGACTACTTTTTTCATTTAAAAAAATCGCGAGACGTCATTCATTTTGCAACTATAAGGCAGAACTGAAGAAATTAATGAGAACGAGAGATATTTACTAACACGTTATTAAACCAAACAAAATAGTCACAAGCATCAAATTCGGTTTACATTAAATAAAAATTATGCAAAGAGTTTCTACAGACATTATATAATTGAACTATATCCATTTACAATGTAGGACTACCGATCAATAGCGCGAGGGTCCCCATGAGCGTGACGCACCCGACCACTTTCGCAACTTTCAATTTGATTTAATGTAAAAGGATAAGCGTGGTGAAATGAAGTCTGTTTAAAATATCTGGACAGATATTTAGACTTACTTCGAAGCGTATTTGTCCCCTTCGAAGCGTATTTTGTGGCGCTGTTACGGGAGGCGTTGTTCATGAATGAACGTACACGACTACACGACCAGATCACTAAAAGTGAACAGTTCTGATACAAATCATTCAAAAACTCCGTGGAAGTGTGCCTGACTTCTGATTTTGTGGCCCCAAACATCCCAAATGTGAACACTAATATTTCCTTTCTCTAGCGTAAAACGCTGTGAGTAGGCCTAGATCATGGTTGTCTTTTCTTATTCCGGTGGTGACCTTGCCCTTCGATCGTTCGAAGCTGTCACTGACATGCAAGCAGACTTGAGTTTGTTGATTTTCACGTTTTCAGTATAGGGTGGTACAGTTAACATGAATGTCTTTGGCGAACACTCTGATTTCCCTCTTCCAAAATGGTACGAACATGATATAAATTCAGCTGATAGATCAAGGAAACCGAACCATTTTGATTGCACAGACGGGACACCGGCAACAAGCCAACCAAAACGTTACAGGCCGATCACTTCAGTTTCATAATTGTCAGTTGAAATCTTTCAGTTATTTGAATTCAGTCATTGATTTATTGCACTTCATACTTGTCTGAATAAGTCTTCACTGCTGAACATTCCTGAAACATATCCCGTGATATGCTGCAGTAAAATCACAACACAACGACTTCTGAACGTTGGTGTAGTGAGTGCCGTTAAACACCGCAGAGCGTGGCTAATTCTTTGACTGTATATGTCAGACTTAACCTCCGAAACCATGGTCCAAGAATTTATGTGCATTAGTATAACCAATGACGTCATTTCCAACGGTGAAGATTCTAATAGATCTTTGGTTCGGAAGAGGACAATTTTAGTTATGGTTGTGTGAACTTATAGTCGCCATTTAGAGCACCATCTGAGACCACAGCAGTGGCTACGACACCGTCATCGTCTAGTTACAGGTGAAGGCACAAATATGTTGTGCTAATGTTGATGCGTCAGTGAAGACGTTGCTTTCGACGGCTTGTTGGTTATACAAACTTTTAAAAAAGCATATTCTTGAGGGCATCATTCGCTTTGAAGTTTGTTCTTGGGGGCCGCAGCTGGTATCAAGTTTGTTACATGTCTTCATGTTTTAAAGTCAATTCAAAAGTTGACAGTACTGATGCATGGCTGTGGCAGACTTCTTCCTCAGTTAACATACTGGCCTTATATGTGGCATTATGTGATATGTCACTTATACCAAGTTCTTTGATGAAACAATTAATGTAGTGCGTCTTACGTATAATGGTTGTGTTGTGTGAGGCCTTGTCAGTGGGAACACCTACAAACTGTTCATGTAGGACAGCCAGACTTTGGGTGACATCTGGCTAGGCCAAAATGGGTTTATTCCAATTCTAGTTCCTCATTTTAAGCTTGTGCATGCGACCAATGAAAACATCGCGCACTGACTTCAATCCCTCTGAAAGACATTCAACCGGCATATGCGTCGACAACATCCATAAGGATTGTAAAGTTGTGATTCCGACTGGTAGGAGGCTGACCACGATATTTTGGTCAATATTTTGAATAACAGACGCAGGCTGTTATTGTCAACAATAAAGAAGTCATCTGTGATTATATGACCTACAGGTTGGTAGCAGAATGATGAGTTTTACATAATGTGCTGCCAAGTTCACGTTCTGCAAACGTTCCTATAATTGAACAGCCCAGGTGAAATGGTGTTCGCAGACGAAAATGAAATTTTTGGCGGTTCCTGAAATTTGAAACATTGTGGGACATTTTGGGAAACTGATTTTTGTCCTAGAATGTTACTAAAATGTAACGCACATGTTAATGTATTTATGACACATTAAATTTAGTTGTACACGTGGGACGAGCTGCAGATCGGCCTATCACTATGTTCTGTCCTTTCAAGATCCAGACAGTTTTGGGGAACATGAGACGGTGCCAGGCATCATTGATTATTGGTCACGTGTTGTTTGTTGGCATTGTGTGGCACGTGACAACGGACGTTTTGTACATTGTACATGTCTTCACGCAATCTTGTCTTGGCTGTTTGAACAGATGCACGTAATGATGCGTTTTAAAAATGGCGATCCTCAGCATACTTTGAGTAGTATAGTTGTACATTGAAAACAATATGTTTATACAAGTAACATTCTTGTACATTGAACACAGAGAAGGTTTATACAAGTAACATAGTTCTACATTGAACACAGAGAAGGTTTCTACAAGTAACATTGTTGTACATTGAACAAGGAGAAGGTTTATACAAGTAACATAGTTCTACATTGAACACAGAGAAGGTTTCTACAAGTAACATTGTTGTACATTGAACAAGGAGAAGGTTTCTACAAGTAACATTGTTGTACATTGAACAAGGAGAAGGTTTATACAAGTAACATAGATGTACATTGAACACAGATAAGGTTTATATAAGTAACATAGTTATACATTGGACAAAGAAAATGTTTATACAAGTAACATTGTTGTACATTGAACACGGAGAAGGTTCATACTAGTAACATTGTTGTACATTGAACACAGAGAAGGTTTATACAAGTAACATTATTGTACATTGAACACGGAGAAGGTTTGTACAAGTAACATAGTTGCCCACTGGACAAGGAGAAGGTTTATACAAGTAACATAGTTGTACATTGAACATAGAGAAGGTTTATACAAGAGACATAGTTGTACATTGAACACGGAGAAGGTTTATACAAGTAACATAGTTATACATTGAACACGGAGAAGGTTTATACAAGTAACATAGTTGTACGTTGGACAAAGAGAAAGTTTATGCAAACAACAGTTTTATAGTAACAAGTAGCAACTATCTGATTCTATCTTCAGCTATCAAGCTGGACAAGTGCAACGTGAAGGGATACACAGCTTGGTCTCTGATGGACAACTTCGAGTGGTTGGCGGGTTATCTCGAAGTGTTTGGCATCCATCACGTCATCTTCTCACGTCCAGAGAGACCCCGCGACCCAAAGTCTGCCGCTAAATTGTATAACGGGGGGAGTGGCACTGCCGTGAAGGCGTTTGATGACTTCTACTATGGTACATTCCCTGAAGACTTCATATGGGCGTCAGCGTCGGCGTCCTTCCAGATTGAGGGAGCCCTTGATGCTGATGGTGAGCGTTATACATTTGACGTTGACGTGAGCGTATACATTTGACGTTGACGTGAGCGTTATACATTTGACGTTGACGCTGACGAGTGTTATATTGACGTTGACGAGGGTGAGTGTTATGTTGACATTGACGGTGGTAAGTGTTGTGCCTTTGATGTCGAGAGTGAGCGTATATGTTTGACGTTGACGCTGGTGAGTGTTATATTGACGTTGACGGTGGTGAGTGTTATATTGACGTTGACGGTGGTTGAGGTGAGGTTGAGGTGTTAACAACATCTTTGCTCCAGTGACTTAAACGCTGATAAGTTGAGACGACATGTATCAGACATATCAGACTGTACTTGTGGATATCACTTTGAAGATACAATTCACTTTTTCTATATGTGTCAAAAAGAAGAAAATATCAGAAACACTATGTATTTCTACACACAAGGGTATGACTCAAAAACGATATTACATGGCAGTGGTTCAGTCAGCAGTTCCACAAGCATGGCTATTCTTCAATCAGTTCACGATTTCATTGCTTAATTCTATGCATGTAGTAAAGGAGAATATTATTTCACAGACACCGCTTGTTCAATGTATTGGCTTCATGTATTTCAGTTGTGCATTTTGTATGTTTGTTTAGCACTATCTTTTATAAAACCAGCTGTTGTTAAGTTATTAGCTGGAGAGGTATTTACATAAGCAAGTTTTGCTTCTTCACCGATCCAGATTTCTTTTGAAATAAAAATATGTTTAAACCACCTACATTTTTGTGAGTAAATGCTGCTGGACGTTGCTCTCAGCAACTCCATCACGACGACCTCGAAATATTCGAATCTGGCCTGGGCAAACATCTGAGTAAGTAACGATCCTCACAACGGGGGAACGATGACCCCCAATCATCCATGTCACAGAGTTCCTGATTGCCTCGTACGACTGGCACTTGGTGCTGGGGACTAAGTTAAACCAGGGTCCCCACGGGGAGAACGTTTTCATTTATTTTGTCTTCAGCGACTATATGTCTAATGTCAAACATGTGTTTACAAGGGACAATAGAGCAGCTCCCTGTTTAAAGCGTTCGCTCGTCACGCCGAAGGCCTGGGTTAAATACCCATATAGGTAAAGTATTTCTACCCTTCATACATCTGGAATATTGCTTGGCGACCATTCTCACTCAGTCACTCACTCGCTGTATCTGCATCTAGGCCGTGGTGAAAGCATCTGGGACAACTTCGCTGCCCTCGACAACAACACCGGAAGGACTGCATGTGACAGTTACCACAAATACCAAGACGACGTCAATCTTCTGAAAAACATCGGGGTGAGTGGATCTACAGGAACACGTCTTGTGTGTAGTATATAAACATGCGTTCCCCCTCTTGCTTTGATGTGCCAAACTATTCTTCTGGAAACCATAACATCAAGAACATCAAGAACACGGTCCCTTGATCTGCCGCTGCCGATAAAACTGTTACATTTACAAACTGTATATGTCGATGTGTTGACAGTATTCTCTGTGAGTTTTAACCTTTAGTTTTATTTTTTCCAAACCTTTGTTCAGGTCAGTCATTACCGGTTTTCCATCACCTGGTCCCGAATATTTCCTGATGGTACTCTCAGGTCGAAGAACCAGGGAGGAATCAACTACTACCACCGGTTGATCGACGCCCTGCTGGTGGCGGGCATCAAGCCCATGGTCACTCTGTACCACTGGGACCTGCCACAAGCCCTGCAGGACCTGGGAGGCTGGACCAACGCATCCATCATCACAAACTTCAGGGATTATGCCGACGTTTGCTTTGAAGAATACGTCAGCAAGGTCTGTATTTCATTGTCCTTGCTTGTTTCTTTTTGATTCCGAAAAATTGCATTTTAGAGGTTGAAAAGAAAAAACTTGAACGTATTTCTTAGACATTTTCATTTGTAGAATGCACATACTGAACAAGAGAAAACAGAATTTGGATAAATCTATTCTGTCCCAGCCAGCTGTCATCCAAATTCTGGCTACTCCACATGATCAATGAACTTGGCATAAGTGATCAATTTGTCAAAAATGAAAGCAAATGCAATCTGAAGTTTACTGAGAAACAATGTGTGAAATGCTGGATTTCCTCATTGATAATATCTATGTAAAATTTGGGGTAAGACATTTTATCAATAGGGCTTTTTTAGTAAGCATTCCCAATGGCACTAATTGTGCTCCCTTACTTGCTGAGCTGTTTCTTTGTGCATATGAATCGGAATTTCTGCTGGGATTGGCAAAGTCAAAAGAGTTCTGGCTATGAATTTTAACTTAAGCTTCAGGTATATTGATGCTATGATACCGTTCAATAACCATCAAATAGCCAATTCCCTTGCAATGATTACCTACCTGAACTAAAGCTAAAGAAGACCAGAGAGACCCACTCATGTTCAGATCTATGCATTATGCTTCGAGTGACAAAACACACAAGACTGTAGGACAAGAGTAAAGACTTCAACTTTCTAATAGTCAACTTTCCCTTCATGTCGGGCAATATTCCAGCAGCTTCAGCCCTTGGTGTTTACCTGTCCCAAGTTTGGAGGTACAATCGATCACGCTCTTTGTACAAACAACATTTTGCTAAGAAATTGTTTGATCAAGGTTACAACATTCAAGGCTTCAGTAAAACTTTCAAAACGTTTTAGGGCAGACAGGTGGAGGACATTTCCAACGTCCAGGGACAAAAAGGATGTCCGATGAAATTTACTATCTCAATTTGTACCACATGTTCCCGTGTGTTTTTTTAGGTGAACAATTGACTTGGCTTTGCATTTGTTTGTGACGAGTGCGCACCGGTGGGGCAGGATACGCTTACATTTTCGCAAACACTTGGTATCATCACTATTTGATAGTGATTCATAAAAACATGCTCATGATATCGTCGGAATCGTACAATCGTACAAATGCTTTTAGCATAGATTTACTGTGAATATGGAAATGGTTTTGTCTCTTCTTTTCACTAATAAAACCAAGATCAATTCCCTTGAACTGCACTGCACTCAGATGAATTCAAAATTAACAGATCGGTTTTTTTCAACAAAATGCGCTATTGTGTGACCGGATTTCTGGTCTATACCGTGACAGTTTGGGTTGTTTATAGACAACAGTTGCATAGAGAATCTCACCCGAGTGTCTTTTGATATCAAATATATCAACACGAGTTGATAAAAGTGGAAATATTCCGAGGCTTGCCGAGGATTCTTTTCCACTTTTATCAACGAGTGTTGATATATTTGATATCAAAAGACACTCGGATGAGATTTTATTTATCATCCAACATCATTCTTCCAACTTTTTCAATTTGTAGACAGTAATTAGCAGTATCTTCAGTGTAAAAAGTACTGCTAACAGCTTCAGTAGCAGAGCCATTAGTGATGTCATTTGATTGTGACGTCATGGTAACCGTGACGTCACAATGGTCTTCAAAGTATTGTGATGTAATTTCATTGCAGCGATATCTACAGTGGGAGCCAGTTTTGGATGATAAATACAGAATACTAAACGAGCTCCCGTGTAATACCAATTTTATGAAACGAGTGAATAGTTGCGGTATCTGACGAGCGAAAGCGAGTCAGATACCACAACTATTCACGAGTTTCATAAAATTGGTTTTACACGGGAGCGAGTTTAGTATTTTATTTATTACTTGCCATTTATAACGTTTTTAGAATTATCCACGGCATAATCCGATTGAGTTGAGTAATACTTCAAACACGTCAAAAGTTGAAACGTATGAATTTAATACCATACAACGGTCCACCTTTAGAATTTTCAGGCGTCCGTTCCACAAAATTATCGTAGCGTTAAGGTTATCGCAACTCACATACTTTAACTTAGACCAACGACTGTCGTTGCGCTACAGTAGGATCGCCTTGTGGAACGGGGCCTTGCACCTCAAAGTTTACAATCACGTCACAATACCCGATGACGTAATTTGTGGAATTTTGTTGCAAGTTCCTTCGGCGAAACAATGCCATGTGACGTCAGCCTAGCAACAAGGTTGCTGGGGTCATCGAGTGTGCATAAGCTCCTCTCAGTGATCCATTATCTCCACACACAATGTCTTTGAATAAGCCAAGGTATGTTGAGAGCTTTCAATATTTGTTCGTGAAACGTGTTCCGAGAGTACATAAGCACGCGTTTTGGTATTACACAATGTGTAATACAGCTGTATGTTTATTAAACGGGTGATCTTTTCACGGGCAAGTAATAAATGGCAGTATTGCCCCGCGGCGCCAGGCAACAAAACAATGATTTTCAGTGAAGCATTCATATAGTTTTCAACTTTTACCTTTTAGCCTTTTACGCTCAATGGAATCTGTTTCGGCGGATAAGCGAGACTGGTTCTTCTCTGACGTTCATGTTTTATATTTGAAAAATAAATCAGTTAGAGATAAAAATGATTAAAAGACTACCAATGAAAGACCGATGTGACCATTTGGCCGGTTGTGACTACACACTTATTATTCCACAACACGTTTGAAGGCAGAACCATTCTGTTTAGAGAATGAGGCTTGGGGATATTACTTGTCTGTCACATGAAAACCGCAGCCAAAATAAGAACTGGTCTTGGCATACTTGGCTTCAGACAATATACACCCACTGAAGTAACACGTTCATCACAGTGTTTAATGCTGCAGGTGGATTTCTGGATCACCTTCAACGAGCCGTGGGTATTCCTGATGAAGGGGCTAGGGACGGGCGAAATGGCCCCGGGGCACAGGAATCTAGGGGACGAGCCCTACCTAGGGGGACACAACGTCTTGCTGGCCCATGCTGAGGCGTACCACCTGTTTGGCAACAAATACAGGGCGCAAAATCCGGAAGGTAAACAGATTTACTCCAGATGTTTGTCGCTAAAGGAGACAATTGCTTACCAAGTATCATTTGTTCACAAGCGTTTCGGTCGGATGATCCAAGAAGTGCTTTTCTTTCTGCTGGTGTATGTTGGTGTATGTTTGTATGTTTGTCTTATTTGTGTATGTTTGTATATTCTGGTGTATGTTTTTTCATGTAAGTGTATGTTTGTGCATTCTGGTGCGTGTTTGTTCATGTTGGTGTATGTTTGTGCATTCTAGTGTATGTTTGTATACTTGTGCATCCTGGGGTATGTTTGTTCATGCTGGTGTATGTTTTTTCGTGCTGGTGAATATTTGTTCATGCTGGTGAATGCTTGTTCATGCTGGTGAATGTTTGTTCATGCTGGTGTATGTTTGTGCATTCTAGTGTTTGTTTGTATACTTGTGCATCCTGGGGTATGTTTGTCCATTCTGGTGAATGTTTGTTCATGCTGGTGAATATTTGTTCATGCTGGTGAATGTTTGTTCATGCTGGTGTATATTTGTTCATGCTGGTGAATGTCTGTTCATGCTGGTGTATGTTTGTGCATTCTAGTGTTTGTTTGTATACTTGTGCATCCTGGGGTATGTTTGTCCATTCTGGTGAATGTTTGTTTATGCTGGTGAATGTTTGTTCATGCTGGTGAATGTTTGTTCATGCTGGTGTATATTTGTTCATGCTGGGGTATATTTGTTCATGCTGGTGAATTTTTGTGCATGCTGGTGTATGTTTGTTCATGCTGGTGAATATTTGTTCATGCTGGTGTATATTTGTTCATGCTGGTGAATTTTTGTGCATGCTGGTGTATGTTTGTGCATGCTGGTGAATATTTGTTCATGCTGGGGTATATTTGTTCATGCTGGTGAATTTTTGTGCATGCTGGTGTATGTTTGTTCATGCTGGTGAATATTTGTTCATGCTGGTGTATATTTGTTCATGCTGGTGAATTTTTGTGCATGCTGGTGTATGTTTGTTCATGCTGGTGAATATTTGTGCATGCTGGTGAATGTTTGTGTATGTTTGTTTGTTTGTTCATGCTGATGTATGTTTTTGTATGCTGTTGTATGTTTGTGTATGTTTTTGTATGCTGGTGTATTTTTGTATGTTTGTGTATTTTGGGGTATTTTTGTATTGTGTATTTTGGTATGTTTGTAGGTGCTGGTGAATGTTTGTGTATGCTGGTGTATTGTGTGTGCTGGGGTAAGTTGGTTTACGTGTGTATCGTGGCCTATGTTTGTCTCTGTGGGTTTGTCTGTGTAATGCGTTTATCTCCATGACAACTGACGGAGAGATGTAGAGGCTTACAGACATGGTTGTTGTGTCTACGTGGTGTGGTATCTGTAAACTATAAACTGTACATATATAACATAACCCAGAAATCGGTATGTACAGTAACATCAGAAAATGACCACACAAGATCAATGAAGAATTTCAAATATATTGAAACTCACAGTTTTAGGTTCCCAGTCCAGCAAGGTAATATCACGGGCCAGGTGGGGGGTGGCAGCAGTGGGGTAAAGGTCATATCAAATCCGTCAGTACAGGATTTGTCGCTGTTGAACTTCTTGAACCAGGCCCGTGCTCCGGTCTGGAATCCGGACTAGTGTTGGGAGCTGGCAGGAAGTCGGTGTCTTCACCTTGGAATCTTACCCGCACATGGACAGGAAATAAGACGCAGTCGTGTCGTCGGTTCAGAGCACTCGATATTTTACGAGCGTTTCAGTCATTTGCTGGCACAAACATCACGCCACATAAACGTACAACGTCAGGCTCATCATCAGCTCAGAGCCCTTGCCCCCTCTACACGCAGCCCAGACATGGAATGGCACTTCTTTCAGGAAACGCTGCCTAGTCGAACCCGCCCAGAATGTTTTGGATAATGTGAACACTCCCCAACACTGTAGCCTTCCGAATTACCAAGAAGGGCTGTATTCCTGGCAGCAAACCCGGGTACTCTCCCAATGTCGGTCAACAGATTGGGAGGTACCAAACCTAAGGCACCGAGAACAACTTTGCCAACTTGGTACTGGGGTGCACGCGTGACATTTCCCCGGATAGGTCTGAGGCTGTATACGGGCCTATTCTAAAGAATGGGGTGTCTGTCATTTTCCATGACGCCCCCTACAACTTCTAGGTCGTACCATGGACCTCTGAGTCAAAACCATAAGCATGTCGAAGACGGTCAAAAAATGATCGAGCCACGCCATCATGTGACTTAAGATACTTTGTTTGCATAATTTACATTTCATATTAACATTTTGATGCCAAATCACACATTGACGGTTTCGCGTGGGAAGTAAATTTCACTTTCGGCCAGCCGACTTCATCCATACGAAGGACTCTGTTTGTTATGGCGCTTGGTTGATATTCATTTCTGTACCGTCCAGCAGTACAGAGCCATCAACAACAATGCCTTGTTTTCATCAAACGTGTGCAAAAGTGCACAATGCAATTCTGTCATGAGCCTCCATGGCAATCAAACTACGCCCTTCATTAACATTATAATAGGTAAACACAGGCGACAGAGGGAAGAGGGAGGGTGAAGTAGTCGTAGTAGTAGTAGTAGTAGTAGTAGCAGTAGTAGTAGTAGTAGTAGTAGTAGTAGCAGTAGTAGTAGTAGTAGTAGTAGCAGTAGTAGTAGTAGTAGTAGCAGTAGTAGTAGTAGCAGTAGTAGTAGTAGTAGCAGTAGTAGTAGTAGTAGTAGTAGTAGCAGTAGCAGCAGTAGTAGTAGTAGTAGCAGTAGTAGCAGTAGCAGTAGCAGTAGTAGTAGTAGTAGTTATAGTAGTAGTAGTAGTAGTAGCAGTAGTAGTAGTAGTAGTTATAGTAGTAGTAGTTATAGTAGTAGTAGTAGCAGTAGCAGTAGTAGTAGTAGTTATAGTAGTAGTAGTTATAGTAGTAGTAGTAGCAGTAGCAGTAGTAGTAGTAGTAGTAGTACTAGTGGTAGTAGTAGTAGTGGCTGATGAACACTTGCAGGTGAACATGGTTGGGGTTGTGTGTACCTGTGTATACTCGCCGTGGCCCGATGTAAATACTCCTGTACAGTTATTTTATCCCCACCTTCAGTCCAGGTCGGCATCAGCTTCAACATTGACTGGGCGGAGCCTAAAGACCCCCTCAACCCGGAACACATCGAGGCATCGGAGTGGGCGGTGCAAATGTTCCTGGGATGGTTTGCAAACCCCGTACATGGTAATGGAGACTACCCGGATGTGATGAAGCGGAGAATTGCTGCGGTCAGCGCTGCGCAGGGATTGAACCAGTCCAGGCTACCCGCATTCACCGAAGAACAGAAGACGCTCATAAAGGGTGCATGTTTATACTCATACTAGTAATATTAGTTTTAATTACTCTGCGCAATTTTACATACATTTTTATTTATATGTATATAGTGACATGTACAACAAAGGCGTCGGTTTCAGTACTAGTGAGTGTCGGTTTCAGTACTAGTGAGTGTCGGTTTCAGTACTAGTGCGTGTCAGTTTCAGTACTAGTGAGTGTCGGTTTCAGTACTAGTGAGTGTCGGTTTCAGTTCAAGTGAGTGTCGGTTTCAGTACAAGTGAGTGTCGGTTTCAGTACTAGTGAGTGTCGGTTTCAGTACTAGTGAGTGTCGGTTTCAGTACTAGTGCGTGTCGGTTTCAGTACAAGTGAGTGTCGGTTTCAGTACTAGTGAGTGTCGGTCTCAGTACTAGTGAGTGTCGGTTTCAGTACTAGTGAGTGTCGGTTTCAGTACTAGTGAGTGTCGGTTTCAGTACTAGTGAGTGTCGGTTTCAGTACTAGTGAGTGTCGGTTTCAGTACTAGTGAGTGTCGGTTTCAGTACTGGTGAGTGTCGGTTTCAGTACTAGTGAGTGTCGGTTTCAGTACTAGTGAGTGTCGGTTTCAGTACTAGTGAGTGTCGGTTTCAGTACTAGTGCGTGTCGGTTTCAGTACTAGTGAGTGTCGGTTTCAGTACTGGTGAGTGTCGGTTTCAGTACTGGTGAGTGTCGGTTTCAGTACTAGTGAGTGTCGGTTTCAGTACTATTGAGTGTCGGTTTCAGTACAAGTGAGTGTCGGTTTCAGTACTAGTGCGTGTCGGTCTCAGTACTAGTGAGTGTCGGTTTCAGTACCAGTGTGTGTCGGTTTCAGTACTAGTGAGTGTCGGTTTCAGTACTAGTGAGTGTCGGTTTCAGTAGAAGTGAGTGTTGGTTTCAGTACTAGTGAGTGTCGGTCTCAGTACTAGTGAGTGTCGGTCTCAGTACTAGTGAGTGTCGGTTTCAGTACCAGTGAGTGTTGGTTTCAGTACTAGTGCGTGTCGGTTTCAGTACAAGTGAGTGTCGGTTTCAGTACTAGTGCGTGTCGGTCTCAGTACTAGTGAGTGTCGGTTTCAGTACTATTGAGTGTCGGTTTCAGTACAAGTGAGTGTCGGTTTCAGTACTAGTGCGTGTCGGTTTCAGTACTAGTGCGTGTCGGTCTCAGTACTTGTGAGTGTCTGTTTCAGTACTAGTGCGTGTCGGTTTCAGTACCAGTGAGTGTCGGTTTCAGTACTAGTGAGTGTCGGTTTCAGTACTAGTGAGTGTCGGTTTCAGTACTGGTGAGTGTCGGTTTCAGTACTAGTGAGTGTCGGTTTCAGTACTATTGAGTGTCGGTTTCAGTACAAGTGAGTGTCGGTTTCAGTACTAGTGCGTGTCGGTCTCAGTACTAGTGAGTGTCGGTTTCAGTACCAGTGTGTGTCGGTTTCAGTACTAGTGAGTGTCGGTTTCAGTACTAGTGAGTGTCGGTTTCAGTAGAAGTGAGTGTTGGTTTCAGTACTAGTGAGTGTCGGTCTCAGTACTAGTGAGTGTCGGTCTCAGTACTAGTGAGTGTCGGTTTCAGTACCAGTGAGTGTTGGTTTCAGTACTAGTGCGTGTCGGTTTCAGTACAAGTGAGTGTCGGTTTCAGTACTAGTGCGTGTCGGTCTCAGTACTAGTGAGTGTCGGTTTCAGTACTATTGAGTGTCGGTTTCAGTACAAGTGAGTGTCGGTTTCAGTACTAGTGCGTGTCGGTTTCAGTACTAGTGCGTGTCGGTCTCAGTACTTGTGAGTGTCTGTTTCAGTACTAGTGCGTGTCGGTTTCAGTACCAGTGAGTGTCGGTTTCAGTACTAGTGAGTGTCGGTTTCAGTACTGGTGAGTGTCGGTTTCAGTACTAGTGCGTGTCGGTCTCAGTACTTGTGAGTGTCTGTTTCAGTACTAGTGCGTGTCGGTCTCAGTACTTGTGAGTGTGGGTTTCAGTACTAGTGCGTGTCGGTTTCAGTACTAGTGCGTGTCGGTCTCAGTACTGGTGAGTGTCGGTTTCAGTACTAGTGAGTGAAGGTTTCAGTACTAGTGCGTGACGGTTTCAGTACTAGTGCGTGTCGGTTTCAGTACTAGTGAGTGTCGGTTTCAGTACTAGTGAGTGACGGTTTCAGTACTAGTGAGCGTCGGTTTCAGTACTAGTGAGTGACGGTTTCAGTACTAGTGCGTGACGGTTTCAGTACTAGTGAGTGACGGTTCCAGTACTAGTGAGTGTCGGTTTCAGTACAAGTGAGTGACGGTTTCAGTACTAGTGCGTGACGGTTTCAGTACAAGTGAGTGTCGGTTTCAGTACTAGTGCGTGACGGTTTCAGTACTAGTGAGTGACGGTTTCAGTACTAGTGCGTGACGGTTTCAGTACTAGTGAGTGACGGTTTCAGTACTAGTGCGTGACGGTTTCAGTACTAGTGAGTGACGGTTTCAGTACTAGTGCGTGACGGTTTCAGTACTAGTGAGTGACGGTTTCAGTACTAGTGCGTGACGGTTTCAGTACTAGTGCGTGACGGTTTCAGTACTAGTGAGTGACGGTTTCAGTACTAGTGAGTGTCGGTTTCAGTACTAGTGAGTGTTGGTTTCAGTACTAGTGAGTGACGGTTTCAGTACTAGTGAGGGTCGGTTTCAGTACTAGTGAGTGTTGGTTTCAGTACTAGTGCGTGACGGTTTCAGTACTAGTGCGTGACGGTTTCAGTACTAGTGAGTGACGGTTTCAGTACTAGTGAGTGTCGGTTTCAGTACTAGTGAGTGTTGGTTTCAGTACTAGTGAGTGTCGGTTTCAGTACTAGTGAGTGTCGGTTGACGCACTTTGCAACCACAGCACGGGTGGACACCAAACACAGGATTCAGAAATTTTATGCATTCCGGGATTAAAACCGGGTCTTCGGCGATACGAACGTTTAGTCACTACTCCAATCAACCCCTTTCAATAATAATATATTCATCAATATAAATAAAAGCGAAAAAGTTTTCCAAAATCACGAGATATATAAGCATTACTTGTGGCCCTTCAATCACACTACCCGGTTTGTTCACTCAAACTCCTTGAGGTGAGGAAATCTGTTTCAGTCATGTTGACTGACACTATCGTCAACCTCTGAATACCTGTTTACAACAGTATACGTGCTGAGCTGTGTCCGACCCTCCAGGTGCATATGATAGGAGTGAGTGAGTATTGTTGTACACCGCCTGTAGCAATAGTCCAGCAGTATCACGGCGGGGGGACACCAGACATGGGCTGTGACAGGGTTGCTCTACTAAACCTATGTTGTTTTTCTCCAGGCACCTCTGATTTCTTTGGTTTGAATCACTACACCACACATTACACCAGCAAACAGGATGAGGGTCTCGCTGGAGAGAGTGCCCCCAACTACTTCCTAGACAGAGGGGTGGACACGGAGTTCGATCCCCAATGGATCAAGTAAGGCACCGTGGGATTTTGGTTAGAGACAGGACATGTACATCATCATCATCATCATCATCATCATCATCGAACGAAGTTAAATTTATTTTGAAGCCTTCAACACATATGACACGATCAGCGGAACAATCTGAGGAGTATAATTCAAAAGATGAATTAAATAGATGATAATCAAAAGTAGAAATATTATAAAAATAATAATTATTTGTTCATCACGTTTAATTCAAATTGGTCCCAAACCAGTTCCGGTTCTGACTGGCTCCGAGATGTACCATGGGGTGCACGGAAGATTCTTAACTGGATCAAAACCAAATACGGGGATGTGACGATCTACATGACGGAGAATGGCTTTTCAGACACGAGCGGCGTCCTTGACGACCAACACCGCATACATTTCTTCAGGTACTACACCAACGAGGTGTTGAAAGGTACGACTATTCTCAGGACCACAGTATGTTATGTTTATTGATTATAAATGTTGATAACACATTCATACAAAGCTACGCTCATTAAGATTTAAAATCATCACTGATGACCCCGGGTATTTGCGAAATGGTCTTGTGATTTTCAAGGTCACTACAAAATATTTTCCACTTTCAGTGACAAGGAAATAACTCTCTCACGTTCAAAATGTTCAAAATTACAACCCATCAATGTTTTCTACGACGTAAGACATTCAAATCTATATCATGAACACGTGAACATTTATTCAGTAACAATAGGTCCGGCCACATTGGTAAGAGCTGCCCAACTGTTTAACCGCCGTTTTCGGAGACAGTGTATGAATCAGTATCAAGCGTCACAACATTTACATATTAGTAATGATTTCAGCAGGTTTTATGTTGTTGTCGATGTTGTGATGCAGCAATCCACCTGGACAAGGTCAACGTCCGGAGCTACACGGCGTGGAGCATCATGGACAACTTCGAGTGGGCCCGGGGCTACACGGAGCGATTCGGACTGCACTACGTCGACTTCGACGACCCCAACCTCACCCGTGTCCCCAAGGCGTCGGCAGCGTTCTACAGACATGCAAGTGTTGTTTGTACACTGGCCACTGAGACATTCAGCGAAACACATACTCCATCTCCGCACAATGAAATGACGTCATCGAGCCAAACTTGACGTAAAAACATACGCGTTAACCTCTCCACAAAACATGAAGTTAAAACATAGGTTACACTCTCCACAGGCTGGGATCTGCCGGCCCTCCTATCTATTGCAATAAAAAAAGCATTGAATGTGTTTAGAAGGAAGGATTATTCGCACTGAATACATTTACTGGCGAACAAAAAGAAACACTCTCTGATTTTACAATGATCGGTTGCGGAATACGTGCAAAGCTGCTGTCGGAAACTCGGGTCAGTTGTAGCGGAATAACTTCGGCTGTAGCTCTGAGACGTAAACAGTGGTTGATATTATGGGTGAAGTCATTTATCTAGCTCCATCAATATACTTCGATAATACATTCAAAATACATCTTTGCTCAAAATGAATAATCTGTATCGAAGGGGAAATGCAACTTACGTTCAATGCACAATAATTAAATTTTCGTTGTGTTCATTGAAATTCCTGTGATTTGATTAAGTAAATTGGTCACGTGTTATTGCATTCATTTCCCAATGAATGTAAACAATTAAGCCACGCCCACCGAGGCGCACTACTTTTATTACTTCGGAATGTCGGGGAATTCCAATATTACAGTCGAGGGAATTCCCTTTCTGCTCACGTGTATCGTCATGCACAGAACATTTAGCGACTTTCTTGCATGTTCATTGTCTAAACATACCTTTGAAACCGAAGGCCGAGAATGAATGAAACAGCAAACGTGCAGGCTCGCTCGCCTGTTTACCGCTCGCCCCGGTTCAACTTTCATGTCTTCGGGTTTCATTTATAACTAGCATTTCTCCAACTGTGTTTTACCGTAATCAGGGAAGTAATGTTTGAATCACGAAGTAAATGGCCATGTTATTTGAAACAGCCGCCTTCTCCTGGACATATTTCTTCCGGTTCGTTACAGTTTGACTGTTGCAGTTCTTTTCGCCTCTTGCCTTAATTGACAGGTCCAATGAACATTGTTTTAATCCCACTCTCCGTTGATTGGCTACTGACTGTGTAGGCGTGTCAAGTTATGTGCATAAATTAAACGATCACCTGATTCATGTCAAGCCACTGTATGTATTCCTACACCTGGAATGTTTATCAATGTCGTCATTGTTGTCTGTTTTGATATATGCAACTGTTTTGGGTTAACCTATTGTAGATAAAACATGTTTTACGTTGTCGAATTTAATTATAAGCATTGACTGTATATTTTTTTCGGTTCATTGAGGTATGAATAAAAAAACCGATGTGCAAACTGTATGAATCCTCTACATTGGGAAATGAATGCAATTACACGTGACCAATTCAGCTAATCAGAATGCAGGAATTTCCATGAACACAACGAAAATTTAATTATATCGCATTTAAATTCTTACCTTCGTACTTCGTATCTATAAACACGATAATGCTTACATTATTTCCGACAATGCTTCTTTTTATTCAAATAGACAGGAGGGCCTGATCTGACATATGTATATTCCTGATAAATGATATTTATTACACGTAAAGCACCCGGCCACAGAATGTACACTGTAAAGAAATGTTTGGGTCTAAACACATGACATTAGCTATCGTCTCACCCCCTGAACACAGCATCCCCATAATCTAAACATGTTTAGAGTTTTAACATAAGGATTTTAGATTAAATCATTGTTTAGACCCTAAGGGTGGGTTTGTGTTTAGGATCTAAAAACATTGCTTACATTGTATGAAACAGATCTGCTTGCCCTGGTGGTGCTAAGTCTGACGTCACCCCAGGTGAACATGGAGTAACACGTGCTTATGTCTGCTACAGGTGATACAGGACAACGGGTTCAAGAAAGGTGCACTCACTGACCCCAACAGACAACCACTTTCGCACGAAGACGACTTCCTGTATGGTCATTTCCCAGAAGGCTTTGCATGGGGCGCTTTCTGTTCCGCTCTGCAGACGGAGGGTGGCGGAAATTTGCATGGTGACACTTTCATTGATTGTACAGTCACATTAGAGTGGCCTTGACCTTAGGAAGAGTGAGTGAGTTTAACGCCGCCAAGAACAGTATGTAAGTAAAGTCACGGCGTGTCAGCTAAATGTGGCAGGAACAGCTGAAGTGATGTGGGTCTCAGATATTTGCCACTTTGGTGAAACCGACGATCACGGGAATGTGCTGACAAATCTAGATACTTTATTATGAAGGCGAACAGGGATTCGAACCCACGATCATAGGTTTCTGGCGCCCCTAAGGGACGCAACTCTGCACAACAATTTCCTGCGCCTTGCACGACTCAGCAACCAATGTTTAGCCAGTGTTGTGTATGTTGTAGCCAGTGTTGTCTACATGTGTATGTTGTAGCTAGTGTTGTCTACATGTGTATGTTGTAGCCAGTGTTGTCTACATGTGTATGTTGTAGCTAGTGTTGTCTACATGTGTATGTTGTAGCTAGTGTTGTCTACATGTGTATGTTGTAGCCAGTGTTGTCTACATGTGTATATTGTAGCTAGTGTTGTCTACATGTGTATGTTGTAGCCAGTGTTGTCTACATGTGTATGTTGTAGCCAGTGTTGTCTACATGTGTATGTTGTAGCTAGTGTTGTCTACATGTGTATGTTGTAGCCAGTGTTGTCTACATGTGTATGTTGTAGCCAGTGTTGTCTACATGTGTATGTTGTAGCTAGTGTTGTCTACATGTGTATGTTGTAGCCAGTGTTGTCTACATGTGTATGTTGTAGCTAGTGTTGTCTACATGTGTATGTTGTAGCCAGTGTTGTGTATGTTGTAGCCAGTGTTGTCTACATGTGTATGTTGTAGCCAGTGTTGTCTACATGTGTATGTTGTAGCCAGTGTTGTCTACATGTGTATGTTGTAGTCAGTGTTGTCTACATGTATATGTTGTAGCCAGTGTTGTCTACATGTATATGTTGTAGCCAGTGTTGTCTACATGTGTATGTTGTAGCCAGTGTTGTCTACATGTGTATGTTGTAGCCAGTGTTGTCTACATGTGTATGTTGTAGCCAGTGTTGTCTACATGTGTATGTTGTAGCCAGTGTTGTCTACATGTGTATGTTGTAGCCAGTGTTGTCTACATGTGTATGTTGTAGCCAGTGTTGTCTACATGTGTATGTTGTAGCCAGTGTTGTCTACATGTGTATGTTGTAGCCAGTGTTGTCTACATGTGTATGTTGTAGCCAGTGTTGTCTACATGTGTATGTTGTAGCCAGTGTTGTCTACATGTGTATGTTGTAGCCAGTGTTGTCTACATGTGTATGTTGTAGCCAGTGTTGTCTACATGTGTATGTTGTAGCCAGTGTTGTCTACATGTGTATGTTGTAGCCAGTGTTGTCTACATGTGTATGTTGTAGCCAGTGTTGTCTACATGTGTATGTTGTAGCCAGTGTTGTCTACATGTGTATGTTGTAGCCAGTGTTGTCTACATGTGTATGTTGTAGCCAGTGTTGTCTACATGTGTATGTTGTAGCCAGTGTTGTCTACATGTGTATGTTGTAGCCAGTGTTGTCTACATGTGTATGTTGTAGCCAGTGTTGTCTACATGTGTATGTTGTAGCCAGTGTTGTCTACATGTGTATGTTGTAGCCAGTGTTGTCTACATGTGTATGTTGTAGCCAGTGTTGTCTACATGTGTATGTTGTAGCCAGTGTTGTCTACATGTGTATGTTGTAGCCAGTGTTGTCTACATGTGTATGTTGTAGCCAGTGTTGTCTACATGTGTATGTTGTAGCCAGTGTTGTCTACATGTGTATGTTGTAGCCAGTGTTGTCTACATGTGTATGTTGTAGCCAGTGTTGTCTACATGTGTATGTTGTAGCCAGTGTTGTCTACATGTGTATGTTGTAGCCAGTGTTGTCTACATGTGTATGTTGTAGCCAGTGTTGTCTACATGTGTATGTTGTAGCTAGTGTTGTCTACATGTGTATGTTGTAGCTAGTGTTGTGTATGTTGTAGCTAGTGTTGTCTACATGTGTATGTTGTAGCTAGTGTTGTCTACATGTGTATGTTGTAGCTAGTGTTGTGTATGTTGTAGCCAGTGTTGTCTACATGTGTATGTTGTAGCTAGTGTTGTCTACATGTGTATGTTGTAGCTAGTGTTGTCTACATGTGTATGTTGTAGCTAGTGTTGTGTATGTTGTAGCCAGTGTTGTCTACATGTGTATGTTGTAGCTAGTGTTGTCTACATGTGTATGTTGTAGCTAGTGTTGTCTACATGTGTATGTTGTAGCTAGTGTTGTGTATGTTGTAGCCAGTGTTGTCTACATGTGTATGTTGTAGCTAGTGTTGTCTACATGTGAATGTTGTAGCCAGTGTTGTCTACATGTGTATGTTGTAGCTAGTGTTGTCTACATGTGTATGTTGTAGCTAGTGTTGTCTACATGTGTATGTTGTAGCTAGTGTTGTCTACATGTGTATGTTGTAGCTAGTGTTGTCTACATGTGAATGTTGTAGCCAGTGTTGTCTACATGTGTATGTTGTAGCTAGTGTTGTCTACATGTGTATGTTGTAGCTAGTGTTGTCTACATGTGTATGTTGTAGCTAGTGTTGTCTACATGTGTATGTTGTAGCCAGTGTTGTCTACATGTGTATGTTGTAGCTAGTGTTGTCTACATGTGAATGTTGTAGCCAGTGTTGTCTACATGTGTATGTTGTAGCTAGTGTTGTCTACATGTGTATGTTGTAGCTAGTGTTGTCTACATGTGTATGTTGTAGCTAGTGTTGTCTACATGTGTATGTTGTAGCTAGTGTTGTGTATGTTGTAGCCAGTGTTGTCTACATGTGTATGTTGTAGCCAGTGTTGTGTATGTTGTAGCCAGTGTTGTCTACATGTGTATGTTGTAGCCAGTGTTGTCTACATGTGTATGTTGTAGCTAGTGTTGTCTACATGTGTATGTTGTAGCTAGTGTTGTCTACATGTGTATGTTGTAGCTAGTGTTGTCTACATGTGTATGTTGTAGCCAGTGTTGTGTATGTTGTAGCTAGTGTTGTCTACATGTGTATGTTGTAGCTAGTGTTGTCTACATGTGTATGTTGTAGCCAGTGTTGTCTACATGTGTATGTTGTAGCTAGTGTTGTCTACATGTGTATGTTGTAGCTAGTGTTGTCTACATGTGTATGTTGTAGCGAGTGTTGTCTACATGTGTATGTTGTAGTCAGTGTTGTCTACATGTGTATGTCGTAGTCAGTGTTGTCTACATGTGTATGTTGTAGTCAGTGTTGTCTACATGTGTATGTTGTAGCCAGTGTTGTCTATATGTGTATGTTGTAGCCAGTGTTGTCTACATGTGTATGTCGTAGTCAGTGTTGTCTACATGTGTATGTCGTAGTCAGTGTTGTCTACATGTGTATGTTGTAGCCAGTGTTGTCTACATGTGTATGTTGTAACCAGTGTTGTGTATGTTGTAGTCAGTGTTGTCTACATGTGTATGTCGCAGTCAGTGTTGTCTACATGTGTATGTTGTAGTCAGTGTTGTCTACATGTGTATGTTGTAGCCAGTGTTGTCTACATGTGTATGTTGTAGCCAGTGTTGTCTACATGTGTATACTGTAGCCAGTGTTGTGTTTGTTGTAGCCAGTGATGTCTACATGTCTTTGTTGTAGCCAGTGTTGTGTTTGTTGTAGCCAGTGTTGTGTTTGTTGTAGCCAGTGTTGTCTACATGTGTATGTTGTGGCCAGTGATGTCTACATGTGTTTGTTGTAGCCAGTGTTGTCTACATGTGTATGTTGTAGCCACTGATGTCTACATGTGTTTGTTGTAGCCAGTGTTGTGTATGTTGTAGCCAGTGTTGTCTACATGTGTATGTTGTAGACAGTGTTGTGTTTGTTGTAGCCAGTGATGTCTACATGTGTTTGTTGTAGCCAGTGTTGTGTTTGTTGTAGCCAGTGATGTCTACATGTGTTTGTTGTAGCCAGTGTTGTGTATGTTGTAGCCAGTGTTGTCTACATGTGTATGTTGTAGCCAGTGTTGTGTATGTTGTGGCCAGTGTTGTCTACATGTGTATGTTGTGGCCAGTGATGTCTACATGTGTATGTTGTAACAAGTGTTGTGTATGTTGTAGTCACTGCTGTCTACATGTGTATGTTGTAGCGAGTAATGTCTACATGTGTATGTTGTAGCGAGTAATGTCTACATGTGTATGTTGTGGCCAGTGATGTCTACATGTGTATCTTGTAGCCAGTGTTGTCTACATGTGTATGTTGTAGCCAGTAATGTCTACATGTGTATGTTGTAGCCAGTGTTGTCTACATGTGTTTGTTGTAGCCAGTGTTGTCTACATGTGTATGTTGTGGCCAGTAATGTCTACATGTGTATGTTGTAGCCAGTGTTGTCTACATGTGTATGTTGTAACCAGTGTTGTGTATGTTGTAGCCAGTGTTGTCTACATTTGTATGTTGTAGCCAGTGTTGTCTACATGTGTATGTTGTAGCCAGTGATGTCTACATGTGTTTGTTGTAGTCACTGCTGTCTACATGTGTATGTTGTAGCCAGTGATGTCTACATGTGTATGTTGTAGCCAGTGTTGTCTACATGTGTATGTTGTAGCCAGTGTTGTGTATGTTGTAGCGAGTGTTGTCTACATGTGTATGTTGTGGCCAGTGATGTGTATGTTGTAGCCAGTGTTCTGTATGTTGTAGCGAGTGTTGTCTACATGTGTATGTTGTAGCCAGTGTTGTCTACATGTGTATGTTGTGGCCAGTGTTGTCTAAATGTGTATGTTGTAGCCAGTGATGTTTACATGTGTTTGTTGTAGCCAGTGTTGTCTACATGTGTATGTTGTGGCCAGTGTTGTCTACATGTGTATGTTGTAGCCAGTGTTGTCTACATGTGTATGTTGTAGCCAGTGTTGTGTTTGTTGTAGCCAGTGTTGTCTACATGTGTATGTTGTGGCCAGTGTTGTCTACATGTGTATGTTGTAGCCAGTGTTGTCTACATGTGTATGTTGTGGCCAGTGTTGTCTAAATGTGTATGTTGTAGCCAGTGATATCTACATGTGTTTGTTGTAGCCAGTGT